AACACACACACACACACACACACACACACACACACGACGACACACACACACACACACACACACACACACACACACACACACACACAAACACGCAAGCACACACACACACACTCACACAGACACACACACACACAGATACGCTTTACTCTTGTGAGAGGCCGTAACCGCCAAGATCAAGGTCTTCCAGATGTGCGCATGTTGCGTCAAGCAGTGCATTCACATCATCATCGCTGGTATCGATAATGGCGTTGCCAAAGAGGCGACATTTTCGCGTGCTTGCAGGCAACGCTTGGATGATGGCTGCAGCCTGACCTGGGGAGAGGCCGCACTGTCCCAGATCAAGGCACTCTGCATGTACCACCTTCGTCACAATGTGTACAAGGTCGACGTCCTTGACCCTGGCGGTATCGAGCGACAGAGCAGGGGGGGGGGTGTGAGTGCACAAGTGTGCGTGCGCGCGCGCATGTGTGTGTGTCTGATGATGTGTGAGCGCGTGCACACACACACACACATGAAGCCGAAGCCATATACGTGCACACACACACACACTTACACACACACTCTCTCTTTACACACCACGCACCCGTCGTTTGCAGCCAAGCTAAAGACGGCGAGGCGAGCCGGAGATTCGAGACGGGCAGCGGTGAGCGGGCTGAGGGCGGCGCGTGTGAGGCCGCAGCTTTCCAACTTGAGCACCTGCACCACGGGAAGCGACGCGACGATGATGTTTTGTGTGTGTGTGTGGTGTGTGTGTGTGTGTGTGTGTGTGTGTGTGTGTGTGTGTGTGTGTGTGTGTGTGTGTGTGTGTGTGAGCTGGACGGTGGAAGAGGGTTGAGGCGGGCAGGCGGTACCCTCTACACACGCAGACATACACACACACGCACACACGCGCGCGCAGACACACACACGCACACAGACAGACACAGCCATACAGACACAGACATACAGACACACATACACACACAAACACACACACACACACACACAAACACATACAAATGACATCCGCCAGGTGCCTGACCTTGAGCTGCGAGTTCGGGGATGAGAATGCATCCAGAAGAGCAGCACCAACGCCGCTAACATCATCACTGTCAACACCACCACCACCACCACTGCCGCCCATGCCTGTGGATGAGAGGTCGAGCGTGGTCACGTGTGAGGAGGCAGCCGCTGCGCGCAGCACATCGCACGCCGCAGCACCAAGCATGGCGTTGTTGGAGAGGTCGAGGGTGGTGAGCGACGGCAGGTGCCCTGCTGAGATGGCAGCAGCGAGTGCACGTCCGTCATGCGCGGTAAGGCTTGTGCTGCTCAGGTTCAGCTCTTCAAGCCCGGACACACGCGCGGCACCGCCATTCTCCTGCCGCTGTGACAGCGCAGCTGCCAACGCGCCGGTCCTGTGTTGTGTTGTGTTGTGTTGTGTGTTGTGTGTTGTGTGTGTGTGTGTTTGAGTTTGTTGGGTGAATGGGGGGGGGGAGTGATCAAATAGTCAAGTGGTGAATGGCACATGAACATACAGACATGTATTACAATCGCGAACCAGTGGAATCATGCCAGCAAAACACGGATCAGCGGATACGCACACAGACAAATGGACAAAGGCAAACAACGCATAATCACGCACACACGCACACGCACACACACACGCACACATAATCACGCACACACGCACACGCGCACACACTCGTACAATGTGTTGCTGGCGAGGTTGAGGTGACGAAGGTGAGACTGAAAGAAGCACGCGCGAATGGCGCTGGCGGATTCAGGTGTCAAGCCCCGATGCTCCATGTTCAGTGATTGCAGGGATTTGGAGGCCACAATGCCTGCGCAACAGTACATCACGTGGCGGCGGTGAGCGCAGCCAGATGCACAGCGCTGATGACTAAGCAATACCGGAGTGTAACATGACATAAGCACAGAGAAACACACACACACACACACAGACAAACAGACAGACAAACCAACACACATACTCAGACAGAGACACACACACAGACAAACAGACAGACAAACCAACACACATACACAGGCAGAGACAGACAGACAGACACACACACACACGCAAACAGACATACAGACACACACGCAAGCAGACACACACACACACACACACACTTACGGACCGTTGAGGAGGGCAGCAAAGCCGGCGTCGCCGAGGGAAGAGTTGCCGGGTGACAGCGTGGTCAGTGTCGCATTCTCAGCCAGCATGTCAGCAAAGCCACGCAGCAAGTCTGATGGTTGAGTCGTGCCATGCATGCATCGCAGAAGCAGCTGTGAGCAACCAAGGCAGTCACACATCCAACAAGCACCATCCGCGTGATGATGCTTCCTTTGATTCAAGCACGCATCGCACAGCCCATCCACCCACATCCACACGCACCGTCGTTAAACGCGCGAGAGATGGAAAAGTCCTTGACATGTGTGTTGCCTTTCAACGCCGTCAGCAGCTGCTTGCACTGGTCATCTGTGATACGGCGCATGCTGGCGCCACACACACACACACACACACACACACACACACACACACACACACACACACACACACACACACAGCGTGGTGAGGGATCACGCCTACACGGTGACAGCCTCACAGGCCATGCAGTGATTTGATGTGATCTCACACGCGGCTTCCACAGCACACCACCCATCACACAACAGCACAACCACCCATCACACGACACACCAGCCATCACACAACAACACAACCACCACCTCACCTCATGACGGAGACGGTGGTCAGCTTGTCATCGTTGGCCTCTACCCGCTCAATCACCTCAAACTTCCGCTGCACACCCCAAGCCATCATTCCCTTGCTTGCTTGCGTTGTGCGTGCGCTTGCTGCCGTGAGTTGTGACGATTCACGAACATCTTCACTCAACTTTCCACAATCACAGCACTCAAACGCTGCTGCTGACGGTTTCTCTGCTCTGCACACCCACCCCCCCTTTAGAACTGTGGTGTTGCTCGCATCCCTCCCTCTCTCCCTCATCTGCGCCCTCACACGCGGCCCACACCCTCGCCGTGCCGCGTTGGTTGCTTGGTCATTCGTTGTCTCTCTCTATCTCCTGGCCTGCTTGTTCTCGACTCGTCGGCGTCTTTGACTTATCATCCCACGGCGCAGCCTGCCCAGCCACACTTTTTCTTTGCAGCTCCCCCCCCCTCACACACAACGCCGCGATGAGCTCGTCTCCTCCAAGACTGCGCAGCTTCAGGCCGCACGCCTTCTGGAAGCATGTGCAAGACGTGTCCGCTGCTGCGCTGAAATCGGGGGCGCTTGTGCCTCTTACAACTCGTGTACGTTCAACACCAACAAAAGATGTGGTTTCCTGCTTTGGTTCCGTCCTCCCTTTGTCCTCCTCTCCGCTTGCGTTCATACATATTCCGTGGAGTGCAGCCCCCTTCCCCAGTTTCTCCCTGACCATACACACTCACGCACATGTACAGCACAGGCATACGTACCACGTGCATTCACATCGCACACATACACACGTCTGCACATGCCACTTCACCACATCCACCCACGATACTACACCACGCTGTGCACGACACCATCCTCATAATGCTCATCCCTATCTTTGCTCTCTCTTTTCCCCCTCTTCCCATCGCCACCGTGTGGCATTTACACCATCAGGCCACGACCGTGGAGTGCCATGGCGTGGAGTTTCAGGTGCGCGTGTTGGAGCACATTGAGAAGAAGGACAAGGCCAAGACCGACAAGCCGAAACACTTCAACCCGTTTCTGCCGCCGGAACCTGAGCTGACCGTGTGCAAGGTGGAGCCACACCACCTGTGCCTGCTGAACAAGTTCAACGTGTTTGACAACCACCTCCTGCTTGTGACGCAAGAGTACCAGCCGCAGATGCGCCGCCTCGACCACGCGGACATGACGGCCCTGTGTGCGCTGATGGAGCAGCGCCACTTCCTCGCCTTTTTCAACGGCGGGCCAAAGGCCGGCGCGTCGCAGCACCACAAGCACATGCAGGTCATCCCGCTCCCGTTTCTGCCGGACGAGACGGAGCCCAGGGTGCCGATTGAGGCTGTGATGGCGCCGGAGGACGGGCTGGTGCAGCAGAGTCTGCCCTTCATCCACCGCGTGCACTGGTTCGACAGCGGCGACGACGACGATGACAACGGCAACAGCAACGGCAATGGCGGCAGTGGTGGGCATGGAACGAACAACGCAAGCAGCAACATGCAACAGCAGCAACAACAACAACAGCCGCAGCAGCAGCAGCAGGAGAACACGGAGGAGGCGCGACGACCATCGCGACCACAGACGCAGCAGTGGCGGGACCCTGATGTTGTGCACAGCGCGTACCTGTCGCTGATGGAGCAGCTTGACCGCTTTCACCACGCGGACGAGTACATGACCAAGCCATACAACTTCATCATGACGCGGCGCTGGATGATGGTGGTGCCGCGGTCTGAGGATGGCATGAACGGCGTGGAGTGCAACGGCATTGCCTTTACCGGCGGTATGCTTGTGCGCACGCCAGAGCACGTGCAGTGGCTCAAGGAGTACGGGATTTTCCGGCTGATGGCCAAGCTGTGCAACGAGCCCATTGTCAGCAGTGACGAAGATGAGGAGGAGGAGGATGAGGATGATGATGATGATGATGATGATGATGATGATGATGATGATGATGATGATGATGATGATGATGATGATGACGGTGGCGATGGTGAGGTTCAGGGTGGAGTTGCGGGTGAGCACAGCAGCGGGACAAGCAGCGGTGGGGTCGGCAGTGATTGCGGGGCCGGTGTTGATGGCGCTGTTGATGACGGGATGGATGAGTTTGATGAGGATGCTGTTGAGGCGCGGGAAGTGGCGCGGGAGGAGGTGCAGGGCTCGCTGGACAAATACGACGCAGTGCAGGGACAGAGCAACACCAACGGCGCTGATGGGAGTGGTGATGTTGGTGTTGGTGGTGGGGATGATCTTACGGATGCAACGCCAACCATGAGCATGAGCGTCAGCAACAGCAGCAACACAAGCAACTAAGTGGGCGTTGGGCGAGGGTTGGAGTGAGAGCAGCACGGACAGCCTGTCCGTGCAGTTCACACCGTGCGAGGTGATGTGTGTGATGTTTGTGATGCGTGTGAACAAGCCTTGCCTCACTCCCCTTGCTCGTGTTGTTCTGAGACGAACGCCCAACAAGCAATAAAGGAAACACACAAAAAGGGAGGCGGAGAACAGAGACCGCGTTGGCTGGCGGTGTTGGGAGGCGAGCGTGTGTCGTCAGCAAAACTTCACAAACAACAACAACAAACCACACACACACACACACACACACACACACACACAAGACAAACACACACACACACATACGCACACAAAGCCATGTCGCGCTCGTTCAAGGTTGACGACGTGTGGGCTGTGACGACCAACAAGCAGCACATGCTGGAGTCACGCTGCCACTTCCAGTGCGCCTCCAAGCAATCGAGTGGCAGCAACGATGAACACCAGCAACAACACCAGCAGCAACAGGCACCTGCAAGTTCAACGGCCTCCCTAGCGTCCGCTGACGTCCTCGATCACGGCTCCTCCGCACAGCGCCCAGAAGCACAAGCAACGGAAGCACAAGCAACGGAAGCACAAGCAGCGCAAACACAGCACAAGGTGTTTCGTGTTGGCGGGCCACAGCAAGGGAGCAAAGGAGAGCAAGGCCCCGTGGAGAAGCGAGGCAAGCGCATGGACCTCCTGACACAGCTGGTGCAGCAGCCGGAGGCGGGGCAGCTGTGCGACTTTTGCCAGTTTGAGCAGGCAGTGCCCTTCCCATTGCCGGAGGAGGTGTATTCGCGCAACCACGTGACGCTGTGGGCGGGGAAAGATCACAGCGTGCGCTTTGACGCGCTCGGTGCGCTGCAGGGCGTGCAGGATGTGCAGGGCGAGCACGAGCTGCCGCAGGTGTCCTACGCCAAGGAGTGGAAGCACGCGCGGCGCGGCCGCGCAGACAAGCTGACGCCGGTCAAGCCGTACGACTGGACATACAACACCAGGTTTGCAGGCTCGCTGCACGGCTCGTGGCTGGTGGAGCCGACGGAGGAAGGCATCGACTTCAACCTCCTCCGACAGCCGGAAAAGATCCTGTTCCAGGAGCACGTGTTCCTGCTTGCCGACGACTACAGCGACAACGGCATCATGCACATGGATGTGCGCCTGCGCGCCATGCCCTCGTGCTTGTATCTCCTGCAGCGGCAGTTTATTCGGGTGGACCACGTCATGGTGCGCATCCACGACACGCGCGTGTTCAAGCGCACGGGCTGCAACCACCTCATTCGGGAGTGCTCCACACACGAGGTGGACATCCCACACCTGGACCGCACCGCCCCCGCGCTGCCGGATGGCCGGCCGCTGCACGTGCTCTGCACTCCGACCGACGTTGGCCGTGCCATGCAGCACTTTCGCCGCACCCGCTTCGAACGCTCCAAACTCACCCCTCAATGAGCCAGCTTGATGTGTGTGTGTGTGTGTGTTGGGGGGGGGGGTTGTGGTTGTGGTTGTGGTTGTGTGTGTGTGCGTGTGCGCGCGCGTGCGAATGTGTGTGTATGTGTGTGTGTCTGTCTGTCTGTCTGAATCACTGACTACCACGCATGCACACGCACACATGCACACACACACATACTGCCCTGGTGCTTTGTGTTTGTGTGTACACTCCCTTTCTGGGTCTCCGTCTGGTCTATCAGTGCGTATTTGTATGCACACGTGTGTATCTGTGTAGCAACGTGTAGCGCCCCGTTTCTTTCCCATGTTGTGAACTACTAATCAAGCCTGTACCCTTGCTGATTCTCACCCTGCAATACACGCAAGGGGATGATTGGATGATTGGTGGCCGCTGCTGCATCCCGGCAGTTTTGACAGGGGACACACACAGATGCGGGAGACAGACAGATGGGAGACAGACACGTACACAGACAGACAGACAGACAGACAGACAGACACAGACAGACACACAGACACAGACACAGACAGACACACACACACAGACACAGACACACACACACACACACACACACACACACACACAGACACACACACACGCCTCCCCAAACAAACCGTCCACGAAGATTGGTTGATGATGTTAGCCAATATTCCGCAACGCCACTGCGAGTGACGCGATTGCGGTCATCAAATCAAGCAACAGCCAAAACCACCAACCTGAACACAACCTGCCTGCTGCTCGCTCTCGTGCTTGCATGGCCCCACATGGGTTGGTTGTCACGCACGCGCGTTGTTCTTCTTCTTGTTCTTGTTGAGTCGGGTTGCAAGTCTGCCGCCAGCTCACTACTTATTAGCAAACTAGCTCGTCGCAAGCAAGTAGCTTGAGAGTTGTCAAGTGTTTGTGGAGTGGTGTGCTAGTCGACACACAGCCTAGCAAGCTAGCTTGGCCTCAGTTATTGTTTGTTCGTCTTGCACCATCATCAACGCCACCCTTCCTCCCTGCAAACTGCCCAAGTATTTATCCCCCCCCCTTGTCTCCTCCATCCACCCGCCTACAACGCTTGCACCACAACCGCACCGAGCCTTTGTCGGTGGAGAACACCTGTCGTTCCTAGCGCATTTGTCTCGGTTGTTGCGCTTGTCCCTGCTTGTTTGCGCGCCTCGTGTCTTCTTTGTCCGGCCTGTCAACTCGCAAACACGAGCAGCTGCGTCAACCACGCAAACGCACGCAACCAGCAACCTTGTCGTGACGCTGTGGCGACACAGGTGATCGCGTGCGACCCGCCATGGCACCACAATTCCGTGTGCGCATAGCGTGGCTGATAGCCTTCATTATCCTCAGTGATGGGCTGCAATGTCTCGCGTCCTGCGCCGATCCACAAGGTACGCTGTGCCGGTATGCACCGTTCCAGCTTGTAAATGCGCGCTTGTGCGTGCGTGCGTGCGTGTCTTTGGAGTGTTCGTGCGTCTGTTAGTCGGTTCGTTCGCTGTTCGTTGCTTCATGTACTTGTTTGTTTGCTTGTCAGCGGCCCGAATGTGCAGCTGCGGGCTCTGTGATGCTGCACCTTGTAATCAAAGATGGCTTGGGCACCCTCGACAGCACAGCCAATCCTACTCACACGTGTGCATTACGTTCTGGCATGTTTTCCTTCAAGTGGAAGCGGTGCACAACAGTGACGGCATGTTCGTCCTCATGGATCCGTGCATCGCCTACGCGCAGCCTTTGGACAGAACCGACTTTCGCGCAGCCTTGTACGTTGAAGCACCCGCAGTGGGGAGGGTGCGTGTGTGTGTGCGTAGGAGGGGAGTTGAGTCGTGGGGTAGAGGATGAGGAAGGGAAATGCCCATGCTTTCAGGGTTTTGTGACATGAACTCGCCAGGAAACGTTCCGTGCACACACACACACACACACAGACACACACACAGACACACAGACACCACACACAGACACCACACACAAACTATTCGCTGGTGTTGATTCACCTTGCTCCGGCCTGCGCTGCTTCTGTTCCTGCTTACAGAGCACAGATAACCACGACGCCAACAGTAGCGCTGTACAAGCAGGATGTCAACGCCACCTTCTCCAGTGTGACTGCTCTCTATGAAAGCCCACAGCCCATCAACGAAACCATTCCAGGTGTGACGCACGCTGTGACTCAACATTGCAGCTCAGCACATACATATACATGCATACAGTCGACGTACCGAATGTCGACACACACACACACACACTCACACTCGCACACTCGCGCTCACACTCGCACTCACATGCAATCACACACTCACACACACACACACACTCACTCACGCTTGTGCTGCGTGGTGGTTGTGCAGTGTGCACGCGTGCACACGTAAGCGGGTGTCTTGTGCGCGGGGTTGCATACGAGCTCATGCTCAGCAACTTGACCGTCGTCGCAGCTTACACCGTCCCGGACGTCGCCTTCCCGCTCAACCTCTCCGGTGTGTGTGTGTGTGTGTGTGTGTGTGTGTGTGTGTGTGTGTGTGTGTGTGTGTGTGTGTGTGTGTGTGTGGGTGTGGGTGTGGGTGTGTGTGTTTGGATCAAACATACATTCGAGCGTACGCGTGTATGCGTATGTGCGCAGTGCTTTCCCCACACCTCATTTGTGTTGGCGGTGTTTTGTTTCTCGTGCCAGTGGTTGAGACTGCGGCAACGCACGCCACTTTCCACCTTCCCGTCAAACAGCTTCCGTCCCAATTCACAAAAGCACAGGTGTGTACGCCGTGTTTGCGTGCGCGCGCGCGTGCGTGTGTACGTGTGTGTACGTGTGTGTGTTCGTGCGTTTGCATGTGTTCCGCTTGTCTTGAAGATGCTCTGTGCGAATTGTGCGCCCGCGAGTGCTTCATGCCTGCGCGTTACCACTTGTGTACACCAGTGTCCTGCACATGTCATCTCCCTCTCTCCCTCCCTCTCCTTGCACTGCTCAGCTGCTCATGACGTTTACCACCACCACCGTCACCACCACACATCACTGCCACCACCACCACCACTACCGCCACCACCACCACCACCACTACCACCGTCACCACCACCACCGCCTCAACTGCGTGTGCTGCTGTACCAGATCCGCGTGTGTTCTGCCCAGCACGGCTCTGTCGAGTCCGCCCCCGACTGCGAAGGCGACGTGGTAGGGCCGCGCATGTGTACGTGTGTGTGTGTACTTTCGTGTGTGGGTTGAAGATGGAGAAACATACACATACTCAAATACACACATACACACAGAGAGATGCACATGTATTCATTCACCTTGGTTGTGCTGCCATCATTTCAGGCAAGCGTGATGAACAGTGGGGTTGGGTGCATTGACGTTGAGCACAACGTGACCACGTCGACCACCGTCACCATCGCCGGGCTCAGGCCGTGGACAACCTTCTGTGCGTATCGCACTTGCTCTCATGCTGGGTTGGCAGAGGGGGAGGGTTGTTAGAGTGGGGAGAGGAGGAATGTTTGGTGATTGTTCACAAATTCTACGCGTCCTGTTGCATGTCGTTCGTGTCTGTGTTTGCTTGTGGGTATGTAAATGTGGATGTGTGTCACTGTGGTACCCAACCTTTCCACCCACTCCCCCTTAGTTTTCTCTCACTTCCACCACCCTTGGCTTTCTTGCGTTGTTGGGATTTATGGCAGGTGCGTCGGTGCTGTATGTGAGCGCCAACTACGACGTGCACCACTGCATGACGTTCACGACAAAGCAGGCTGCGTTCACATTTCCGCCCAAGGAGGTTATCCGCCTGCAACGCGACACGCACCTCATCCTCCGCCTCAAGGCCCATCCGCAGGTGGGCTGCTGTCACGATGAGACGCTGTGTGTGTGTGTGTGTGTGTGTCATGTGAGTGGGGGGAGTGGGTGAGGTTGTAAGGGCAGCTGAGACACACGAGTGACGACAATGAAAACAACCCCAGCAGCAACGCTGTCACAAACTCCTCCACATCCTCACCACACACACACACACACACACACACACACACACACACACACACAAAACACACACACACACACACACACACACACACACACACACACACAAAACACACACACACACACACATATGCACACCCACACACACCACAGGACGTGCCGTGGCCGAGCTTGGTACAGACCTTCCGCGTGTCTGTTGTGTCGGAGTATGGCGATCAAATCCTTGACAACGAGCGCTTCAACGTGTACGAGAAGCTTGGCTCTGACACAACCGGTGTGGAGCAGTTTGCCATCGAGCCCACCAGCGCGGAGATTGTATTCACTGTGCGCACTGCGTCGCTGATGCCGTACACGTGCTACTCCATCACGGTTGCGTTTGACTCTGGCGAGTACGGCACCAGCCCCCCTGCGCGCATCACGTGCCTGCGCACGCTGCCCGGGGCGCCGCTGCAACCGGACCCGCCCGTCATTGACATGCTGGACAGCAATGGCATGTTACACGTGTCGTGGACGCTGCCGTCTCGCACGCAGGCGCCCATTGACGCGTTTGAGCTGGTGGCGAACGTGGACGAGGAAGCAGAGGTGCTTGGCGCCATTGTGTCGCGCTCCAAGCCCGCAGACACCGCCGTGCTGGTGGCGGTATCGCGCGTGGACGTGCTGCACAGCAACGCCACGTTCAACCTGCGGCTGCGCATTGTCAATTCGCAGGGCGTCAGTCCGCTCTCTGCACTCGCCCTCGACCCGAACCAAACGCACGCCATCCTCGCAGGTGCAGTGGTGGCCGTGGTAGCCGTGGTGGCCGTGGTGGCCGTGGTGCGAGGTGGGGGAATGTGGCGAGAGAACGGGTCGTGTCATGGGGCGTCCTTGCGATTGTTCCGTTGTCTGCACCGTTCTTGTTCATCCCGCACTGACAACACACACACACACACATAAACACTCGTGCACTTCACGTCATGCCCTTTATTCAGCCCCAACCTCGGCGCCCTCCAGTGCATCGTACACACCGGGCGCTGTCCTCGGCCCCGCTGCCGTTGTCCTTGTGTGCGCACTGCTGGGCATTGCGCTGCTTACGTTTACGCAGCGGCGGCGCGAGCGAGAGAACGTGCTTGAGCTGCCAGTCCCAGACGAGTGGGAGCGTCCGCGACAGGATGTCATGATTGGCGGCACGATTGGCTACGACGGCTTTGGCGAGGAGTTTGACGGCACTCTCAAGCAGAAGGACGGGCCGAGCGTGGGGTTGGTTGATGCCCGTGTGCGTGTGTGCGCGTGTGCGCGTGTGTACGTATGTTTGCCGGTGGGTGGGTGGGTGTGGATGCGTGGTGATAATGCTTGTGTGCTTGTGTGGCGCGCCATGTGTCTGTTTTCACGTCTCACCTCACTTCATTCGCCACCACTGCTACCACCACTGCCGCCACCAGCATCACGGTGCGCAAGTGCAGCCTGCACAAGCGCCTGCGGGAGAAGCGGGAGTTTCTGCTTGAGGCGGAGCTGCTCAAGTCGCTGGCGCGCGACCGGCACCCGAACATCATCAACCTCGTCGGCTGCTGTCTGCAGGACGAGCCTCTCCTCATCCTCGCAGAGCAGGCCTCCCTAGGGTAGGGACCAGGGGTTGCAAGGAAAGGGGAGGGGGATTGAGGGGTGTTGGTGTTATAATGGTGTTTGTGCTGTCTTGCGAGGTGGTGAGGCTGTATCATGGCTGTCTGCGACGTTGACAATGCTGGTGTCCTGACTCACTGACCGATCGAAAACGCACAGTGCTCGTTCAAACCAATACCCCTCACCACCACCATCATTATCACCACCATCACCATCATCATCACCACCACCACCTTCGCCACATATTATCGCCGCCCGCAGGGATCTCCGCAAGTACCTGCATCAGTTTTCGCCGCTGCTGACCGAGAACACGCTGCCCTTGACGGACCGCCTGCGCATGATGCACAACATTGCCGACGGCATGGCCTACCTCCACTCGCACGGGATCATGCACAGGGACCTCGCTGCACGGTGCGCAACTCTCCACCGCCACATGCTCGCTCCTGCATCGTGACAGTCATTTGGGGGTCGATGGATTGAAGGAAGAAACATGTTGACATGTTGACATGTTGACACGCTGACACGTGTTTGTGTCTTCTGTGTGTGTGTGTCTTCTGTGTGTGTGTGTCTGTGTTTGTGTGTGTGTGTGTGTGTGTGTGTGTGTGTGTGTGCATGTGTGTGTGTGCATGTGCGTGTATGTGGAGTCTCTCATCTTCGCCATGTTGCAATGTGTTTGCACCGGTCAGAAACTGCTATGTGACGACGACCGGAACCGTCAAGCTCGCAGCATTTGCCCGCCGCAAACACACCCCCATTGGTGCGCTCGCTGGCATGTCGTGAATGTTCGCCATATTTGTTGCTCTTGGTTATCGTTGTTACTGTGATGTGGACGCAGTGGTCAGCTGCTGGTTCTATGATCGGTCTTGTGTGCAAAACACACAATCAGCAAGCAAATCGACCGCCCTGCGCCTCACTCTTGAATCTGTCCGTGCGTGTCGGTGTGCGTGCGTGTCAGGTGACGGTGACAGCAGCGATCTCGCCACCCTGCCTGTCCGCTGGCTCGGCCCAGAGGTGCGCACATGTGGATGGGTGTGTGTCACGTTGTGGTGTTTGTTTGTGCGCTGTGTTGGTGGGTGTGCGCATACACACATGCGTCCACGCGTCTGCAGCATGAGTTCACTCCATTCACTGCAACTGCTTGGTCCAACATTCCCAAACTTCTCAACTTCAGGCGTTTGTGCTTCCGTCGCACACGTTTGGAATGGATGTGTGGGCGTTTGGAGTGACGGCGTGGGAGATTGAAACCTACGGCCGCCTGCCGTACACCACACTCACAAACGAACAGGTGCGCGCGCAATGCTTGTATGTGTATGTACATGTGTGTCTGAGTTTCTGTGTATGTGTGTTTGTGTTTGTGTGCGTGTGTGTGTATGAACATGTGAGTGTGTATGAACATGTGAGTGTGTGTGTGTGTGTACGTCATTATCTGTTCATCTGTTTAGGAGTGCGCTCGCTGCTCGCCTCGTGGTCACGGTGCTTTTGGCTCTGCCCATCATCCTCACTATCGGCCACGCCACTTTTGATAAACTCGACCATCCCCTGCCGTCCCCTTTCTGTCTGTCTGTCTCTCTCTCTCTCTGTCTCTCTCTCTCTGTCTCCCTCTCTCTCTCCCATCACTGCGCCACAGGTGTGCTCGTATGTCGTGCGCGGGCAGCGCCTTGACCGGCCAGCCGAATGCCCCTTCATCATCTACGAGGTACGGCCAGCGGCACGTTTGAAGGTCGCACACGTCTGTATGTGTCGTGTGTGTGCATATTTGTGCATGTGTGCGCAATTGCAGACATCTGCGTATGTGTGTGTGTGTGTGTGCTGTGTGCGTCCTTGCTGGTGGTGGAGTAGCGGTACATGTTACACCGCATCACCACCGCTCATTCTGGCTCTTGCGCCTACTGCTGCTGCTGCTGCTGTTGCTGCTGTTGCTGTTGCTGCTGTGCAGATGATGCTGTGCTGCTGGTCAAGCATGCGGCCGTCCTTCCAGAGCATCTCATCCTTCCTTGAAACCGTCAGTATGGTACACAGTCTGTGTGCGTGTGGTTTAGCGAGGGTGACACAGCTCACGTCACGTTGTTAGTGACACACATTTACATGGTGGCACTCGCGCTCTCACGCACGCACGATGCTGTTGTGCACAGGTCTGCGCAATTACTCCGACGGCCGAGGAACAGCGCTTCATTCCATTGTACGAGTGATTGCTCTTGGGATCGTGTGTGTTATGCGTGTGTATGTTGTGTGTGTATGTGTTTTGCATGTTCGGGGTTATGAAGCTGCTGTTGCTGTGCGTTTGAGTTGCCACGAGCAGCGCTCTTTCACACACACACACACACACACACACACACACACGCGCGCGCAATTACACACACACACACACACGCAATGGCACACACATTCACACAATTGCACGCACACACACACACACTCTCTCTCTCATTCAGGGACTTTGTGGACGACTACACGGCGAGCCTTGTTCTTGGTGCGGTCGCAATTGCAACCTGCAGCACTCGTGCACGTACTTACAAGTTTGGTTCTGTTCAATGCGACGTGATAGCATGCCGTTTCGTTCGTTGTCTGTCTCGACCGCTTTCCTCACTCCTTTGTCCCGTTCTCCTTCGTTACTCCTCAACAGATGCGTTGCAGAGTCAGACGGTCGAGGAGCCACACGCCAGCCCTCCATCATCAGAGGTATTGCACATACACACACATACATATGACGGCATTAGATATAGGTGAACAAACTGTAGTGTTCATGCTTGCAGACGCCACGCCTCTGGTCCTCATCTACGGTGCACATACCTCCTCATCTGTATTATTGTGTTGTGGCCCTCCCAGACAACGATGCTCGAGCTTCCTCGACAGCGTGGTATATCAGGTACCGCAACACGCATAAGCACGCACTCGCGCGCACACACACACACACACATACACATACATACACACGGAAACGCACACACACACACACTGATACACATGCATACACACGTGCATTCACACACAGACACGCACAGACACCCCCCCCCCCCACACACTAACATCCTTCTCACTTTCCACTCACACCCTCATACCCCCGCCTCTCCACAACACGCGCACACGTGTACGTTTCATCTCCATGTGCAGTTGACACGGCGTCGCGGTCGCTGCTGAGCACGACGGGCGTGTCGCCCCAGCGCCTGGACACCCCGCAGAGCGGCCACCGCGTCCCGTACTCAGACCTTGATCGCCCGCGCTCCCGTGAGCAGCACATGCCGGGCCCGGCCCTCGGTGCTGGCCCACGCGCCAACGCATCGTACCCGCTCATGCAACGGCAACAAGAGCAGCACCAACAGCACCAACAGCACCAGCAACAACAGCAGCACCAGCAGCACCAGCGGCCGCTGAATCCGACATCGAGCTTGAGCAGTCAGGCGAGCACAGACTCACTGCTGCACAAGCAGCGACGACGGTCGCGGGCAAAGACGCTGGTGAGCCAGGACGGCGTGACAATTGAGGTGCCGCAGCAGCCCAAGCAACGCCGGCGCAGTCGCAGCTTGCTGCCATCCAGCCCCGCCGTCATTCAGCAGCGCATGATGCTGCAGAGGCACCTGTTGCAGGGCCAGAGTCAGGGCCAGGGCCAGCCTGTTGGTGCAGCCGTGGTGCCTTCGCCACCGACAACGCCCGTGCACAGCAGGGGTGCACTCGCGACAGCAGCACCTGCGGCACCATCGCAACTACAGCACACGTCAGCAACAGCACCAATCGCACCAGCAACGGCAGCATCGACCCCACTTGACGAGCACGAGCATTTGTGTGCTGATGGGAATGCGGGCCAGCGTGCTGAGGGGCTGCCTGTGGGACCGGGAATGGTAGAGGTTGAGTTGGACGCTGTGCTGACTCGTGGCAGTCGCTCTGGCAACACCGCAGCAACAACACCATCACCATCGCCATCGCCGCGGCATGACGGGACTGGCTACGAGCAACGTGGCAGTGCCAACAGTGCTGGCGGTGGTGGTGATGCCGGTGATGCTCGTGGTGTCAGGAACCGCAACGGTGCCGTGGGTGATGGCTGTGATGTTGGTGGTGATGGTGGTGGTGGTGGTGATGGTGGTGATGTTGGCTCCCTTGCTGATTCTGATGGTGAGCCACTCCTTCGACCACCGCAGCGGCAGCCGTCCCCAGCCACCAATCTCACTGGCAACAACGCAACTTGCAGCAATGCTACTGGTACCAACGCTACTGGTAACAACGCTACTTGCAACGGCTCTCAACAGTCCCAGGCACAACAACAGCCGCAACAGCAACAGCCACAACAGCAAAAGTCACAGCCACACAAGTCGCTTGACTTCACACCGGCCTCCTCTGTTCTCTGAGTCATGATTGATGCTTTTTGTGCGTATATGTGCGTATATGTGTGTATGTATGTATGTGTGTGCTTCCTTGTGTCTGGTGCACTCTGTGTATGTGCGCAGCTGCTGCACTGCTGCTGTTGTATGCAGCCAGTGCATCCAAAGAAAGAACATCCACGATGCCCACCAGCCAACCACATCAAATCATCCAACCACGCCAACGTTGGTGTATATCGACAGTTGCATGAACTAATGCGCACTAGCCCTATGGTGTCCTTCTGCAATCGTATATTTTTCATATTAACAAAATATTTGGCTGTGTGTTTGTGTTTGTTTTGGCGCTACCAACCAACCAACGAAACAAGCAAGCAAGCAAGGCAAGGCAAGCAAGCGCGACGAAACCAAAAAAACGGACCAACCCCCACATACGCACGCAAACGCTTGCAACACCCATCAACCACACACACAGCAACAGCAACAACAGCGACAGCAACGCACGAACCAACCACCGTCTGTCTCTCTCTGCCTGATCCACACAGCCACACGTCCATCGTCCATCCACCTGTGCGTGATCAGCTTCACAGCCTTCTTCTTTCAGACTTGCTCGCTGGCTGGCCAGCTGCCCTGCTGCCCTGCTGCTGTTTTTCTTCTCGTCTGTTTCCTCTGAGCAAGCACGGACACCAACACCCACCAACGCACACGCCGTCCACACCAAGACCCACGCAAACCACAGCCACCGTTCCGTACATACCACGGCAACAACAGCTTTTTGCTGTTGTTAAGTTTACTGCTTCCTTCTTGTGACACCAAGTCTTACGGGCAACGTAACGGCTCACCGGTTGAGAAAGGGAAGCACACTTGGGCGCTGCGAGCATCCGCGTTCCTCCTCTTGCACTGCCAGCTCGTTTGTCGCCCCGTCTCGTGCCTCTGTTTCTGCAAACCGTTGCTGCGACACCGTTGTCGCGTAGACGTCCACCATGACAGAGCCAAAGGTGCGTGCGAAGCAGCGGCCGTGGCTGTTGTTTGTTTGTTGTTGAGCTGGTGCCAAGTGTGTGTTGTGCGGTCACCTGGCGCAGCACTCGTTTGCTCGCTTGCCTGCCTGTCTACCTGTTTGTCTGTCTGTCTGTCTGCCTGTTGTTGTTGCTTGGTTGTTGTTGCTTCTCGCTTGCTCTGCGGCTCGTGCGACGATGACTTCCCTTTCCAATATTCACACACACGCACACACATACACATGCACATACACATGCACATCGCACACACACACACGCACGCGCGCACAGATCCAACAACTGTATGATGACATTTCGGTGTCTGCTGTGAACCTGTCTCGTGATGGAACGACCACCGTCACCAGCACAACCGCAGGGGCAAACTCGGCGTCATCTGCGACGCTGGCGCCGGCGTCGGCCGTTGCACCCGCGCTGCCACGCATCAACGAGCGCCCAAACTCCGCCGCGCGCGGCTCGCACATCACCTCCGCGCCCATTGGCCGGCTGTCGCGCATTGACTCTGCCAAGGCCAAGGTGAAGCAGGAGCTGCCACTCACGCCGCTGCAGGCGATTGAGAAGTACAGCCGCCACCTCACCCCTTACGAGCAGGACGAGATTATGACATACCCGCAGGTGTGGTTTGTCGGGCACCGCGCGAAGAAGATCAACGCAAACGCGTCCAAGCCAAACAACTGCGGCTACGACGACGACAAGGGCCGCTACAAGTGCGTGAAGCACGACCACATTGGGTACCGCTACGAAATCATGCGCGGGCTGGGCAAGGGCTCCTTTGGCGACGTGGTGGAGACGTACGACCACAAGAACAAGCAGCCACAGGCCGTCAAGATTATTCGCAACGAGCGCAGGTTCCACCGGCAGGCGCAGATTGAGGTGAAGATTCTTGAGCAGCTGAAGCGCAGCGACCGCCGGCGTAACCACCATGTCGTGCACATCAACGAGTACTTTATGTTCCGCAACCACCTGTGCATCACGTTTGACCTGATGCACCAGGACCTGTACACGGCGCTGAAGAAGGACGGCTTCAAGGGGTTCACGCTCACGCAGGTCAACAAGTTCTGCCGCTCGCTGCTGTCGTGCCTGCGGCTGCTGCGCCGACAGAAGGTGATCCACTGCGACCTCAAGCCCGAGAACATACTGCTCACGGAGCGGAACAACGACGACATCACCGTCATCGACTTTGGGTCGGCGTGCCTGGAGCACCAGAAGATACACTCGTACATCCAGAGTCGCTTCTACCGTGCGCCCGAGATCATATTGGGTACCGGGTACTCGATTGCCATTGACATGTGGTCGCTCGGCTGCATCCTCGCCGAACTGTACACGGGGCAGCCCATCTTCCCTGGAAGGGACGAGAAGGAGCAGCTCATGTACCAGATGGAGGTACTCGGTACCCCGCCAGCGCACGTGCTGCGCGTGGCCAAACGCACAAGCGTGTTCTTCCACAGCGATGGTTCACCGCGCGTCACGCGCGACCGCAAGGGGCGTGTCCACGTTCCCGGTGGACGCCCGCTCCACAAGGCCGTGCGCACAGACAACCAGGACTTTCTCGATTTCCTCCAGCGTGAGTGAACCTTGTTCTTCGTGTGTGTTCTCTTGTGTGTGTGTGTGCTTGTGTGTGTGTGTGTGTGTGTGTGTGTTCTCGTGTGTGCTTGTGTGTGCTTGTGTGTGTGTGTGTGTGTCACAAGTGCGCGTCTTTTGTGTACCCGTGTACTCTCAATCGAACCACTTCCTTACACACACACACACACACACACACACACACACACACACACACACACACACACACACACACACACACACACACACACACACACACACACACGCACACACACACACACAGGGTGCTTCGAGTGGGATCCGCACACGCGCATTTCGCCCAAGGAGGCGTCTCGCCACCCGTGGATCAGCACAGATGCAGGCAGCCGGCTGATGGTCGAGGCTGCGTTGTCGGAGAGCCAGCGCAGCAACAGCTCGGTGTCGCGCCTGGCAGACAACCTCTCGCGTGTCAAGGCCGTGCCCAACCCAGACGAATACCACGAAGTGACTGTTGCGGTTGACGGCAACTCCAGCAAGCCCGCGCCAACACAACAACAACAGCAACAGCAGCAGCAGCAGCAGCAAGTGTCGGCTGGCGTGGCGTCTGCACCAAACGCACCATCGTCATCGTCATCATCAATAGCAACAGCAAAGACGGCGGGGTCAACACGCAGCAGTGGCGGTGGCAGTGGCGTGTCGAGCTCGGGGCTGCACCGATCACAGAGTATGCGCACACAGCCACCACCAGTATCATCGGCAGCAACGGGGCCAACCTCGATGAGCAAGCCAGGCCGCACTGCCAGCTCTGGACCAAAGATGACATCCCGCAGCAGCAGCATGAAGCAGCAGCAGCAGCAGAGCACGCCAGGTGGTATGTCGTCGTCGTTGGGGAGCAGCCTGTCACGAACATCCTCAAATGCACGGCCAATGCCGCCCTCGTCCGCAAGCACACGCTCCACGCGTCTCCGTGGTCGCCAGGCGTGGGGGTCTGTGAAACTTGACCCCATCAACCCGCAGCCAGATAAGGTGCGCACCGCTAGCGAAACCAAGAGCTCCAACGTCTAGCACCTTGCTGCAGGACGTGGTGTTGGCGCACGATGCACGCTGCAGGGCTCTGTTCCTTCGCGATCCTTGCAGTTCGTGTGTGTGCGTGCGCGGGTGCACGTATTTGTCGTGTGTTTTGCGTGCGTGTGTGTGCGTGAATTAGCGTGGCAGTCGAGGGTGTATGTAGGAGTTGAGCAGACACTAGTGTGTTAAGCCATTCTTGTTTGTTTGTGTGTGTGCGTGTGTGTGTATGTGTGTTGTGAGCAGGCTGTACAATGGTGTCTGTCCATGTGCGGTCGCATGCCGTTGCTGTTACTCTTTTCCCTTTTTTGCTCCTTTCCTTTTGCGTTCTCTCGTGGCTTTTGTGCCTTTTTATTGGCGTTATCTTCATTGACATCATCGTTCGTTGTTGACAATCACACATCATCTTTGTATTGGTACGCGCTATTCATCATCCCTTCGTTCATTCCTTTGTATTGCTTTGTCCATTTTGTCGCTTTGTATTGCGTTGTCCAAGTTCACTCTCTGTAATCGACCTGACTGTTGTGCATACCCTTTTCCCTAACATACAGCATTGTTGAGCCCATGGATGGTGGGAGAGATAGAAGGAGAGAGTGAGGGAGGGAGAGGAGAGTACACTTGACGCTCAACGTCGACACCCACAGCGTTCACAGCTACCCTGATCATTTCGTGCAAATTTTGCAAACCTGCTGGTTTCCAAGCGAAGTGCACACACAACAGCCAATACAGCAGCCAACAAGCACTCAGCAGCTTTGCTTGTTGCAAGTGAGCATTGGGTTGGCGACGCGCAGTGCCTGCTGAGGGACACCATGGAAGATGGCCAGCTCCACAATGCCGAGCAGGCAATGCACGCTGAGCTTCCATCGCAGGCACGGGCACAGCGAGTGAGGGAGCGGTTGAACGAGATGTTCGCTGCGCTCTTCACCTCATCCTCAGCGTCGCTGCAAGCATCGTCCAGATCGTCCATGGTTGCCGCGCCCACCACGGGCACTGCTGGCGGCGGTACTGGCGGTGCAGCAAATAGAGCCTCGCGACAGACGGGCTCCGCAAAGGAGAGCGAACGCAACCCGTACAGGCAGCGTTTGCGTGAGGTGCGTGTTTGTACGTGTGTGAGGTGTGGGCGCGTTTGTGTTTGTGCGTGCGTGCGTGTGGATGATGTGTATGTTTGTGTATGTGTGATGTGGATGATGTGTGTGTGTGTGTACGTATGTGACTTGCACATGTGTGTGCGTGTATCGCCGCTGCTGTCAAACACCACACATCAGCGACGAACGACATCAGTGCTCATCTCGTCCTCCTGCATGTGTACAGATTTATCGGGAGCGAGATGTGGTTGTGGCCCAGACACAGGAGTTGCTGCAACAATTGGACGATGCAAAGGTGATGATGCGTCATTGTGCGAGCAAGCGCATTCCCAGCACAAAGCCACGCCATCATGAACAACAACACCATTCCACCCGTCATGATGTTCCATGAGCTCACCCACTCAATCAAACACTCCAAGTCTCTCTGCCCCACCAGCTAAGTCTCTGCCACACACACACACGCACGCACACACACACACACACACACACACACACACACACACAAACACACACAAACACACACAAACACACACAAACACACACGTTTACACTCCCTTACACACACGTACGCTGTTTGTCTGTGCAGAGCCATATCTCCGAGGCCATTGAACAGCAGGAACAAGAGCGGACAGAGGCATTCACAGATAACGCCACTGTCGCCCCAATCGGTGCGCTGAGCAGTGCTCATATGCGTGATCATGTGTTACCCTTGTGTTTGTGTGTGCTGACATGTGTGCTGACGTGTGGGAGGCGAGGGCCGATGCGTGCAGCTTTTCGCTTTCCCACCCGCTGGAGCGCTTATGCTCACCAGCAGCCACTTCGACTGCACATGGCACGCTGCTACATGCCATACACCACCTCGACCACCAGTGATTGACCTCAAGAGCATCTTGCGGGACCGCGATGTGGACACGGCGTCACTGCCGCTGCTCTCGGCCTTTGACTATCTCCCGCGTCCAAAGAACAACCCGGCCCCGCAGCGCGCCAACCGCCCGCCCTCATACGCCCGCGCAACAAAGGTCTGTCGTGTGTGTGTGTGTGTGTCGTGTGTGTCGTGTGTGTATGTGTGTGTGTCGTGTGTGTCGTGTGCATGACTGTATTGCACGCGGTTGTTCGCACCGCATCTTCCTCAACTCATGCTCATCATCTTGTCCGCGTGCGTACGTGTATGTACAGACGTCTACGATGCGCCTGCGGGCACAGGCGCGGAAGTTCCCCGATCAAGTGCACGAGTTAACAGAGTGTAAGCGTTTTTCTTGAATGCCGATGCGTGCGTGCGTGTGTGTGTGTGTGCGAGTGAATGTGTACACGACACAGCACACTGCGCTTCTGGTTGCGTTGTTTCGCACTGTGTCTCACCTCTCAACCCACACACACACACACACTCTCTCTCTCGCACACACACATACACACACATACATACACGTGACAGCTGAGGCGGCTGAGAAGTGGCGCAAGGAGGTGGTGGAGCCGCCCAGCTCAAAGCGGCAGTGGAAGGGCAAGATGAGCAAGGAAACCGAAAAGGTGTGGTGCTTGTGTGTTTGTGTGTGTGTGTGTGTGCGTGTGGTGATACGACTGTCCTCACAGCACCTTATTTTTGCACATGCCTGCTGCAGCAACTCCAGCTTCATTCATTCACACGCAAACACACACACGCACACACACACACACACACACACACACACACACACACACACACACACACACACACACACACACACACACACACACATTGCATCCCATCTCTCACCCACGCATGCATTCACACACACACACACACATTGCATCACCCACGCATACATTCGCACATATCACGCGTCACGCGCAGTCGCTGAAGAAGGAACTGTCCATGTTCAAGACAAAGACGGAAGGGTTTCTGCGTAATCCACGCGACACGGCACAGCAGCCGGCACAAGACACAGAGCTCACAGCGATGGCCATGGTGCGTTGGTTGCTGATGTGCTTGTGGTTGCGGTTGCGGTGGCGTGCTGAACGCTCTGGCCATCACACTCTTCACCGCTGTTGCAAGAAGCAGCAGCAGCACCGCCACCACCTTTCATCCTAACAACCACACTCATTGCCATCATTACCATGACCATCACCATCACAACTACCATCGTCACAACTACCATCATCATCATCATCATCATCATCATCATCATCATCATCATCATCATCATCATCATCATCATCATCATCATCATCATCTCGTGGTTCAGACGGGTACGCGACAGCGGCAGGCGGCAGCGGAGGACGCGCGTGTGTTCCGGCCCATTCCTCCGGTTGTTGCGTTCAACACATTTGAGCGAAATGCAAAGTTGCAGCAGACACTCACGCTGGTCAACACCTCCCGCGTCTCGCGCGTTCTTCGCATCCGCCCCCTCAAATCGGACCACTTTGCCGTGACCGGCACCAAGTTCCCCACAGGTCTAATCACACACAACACACACGCATACACATACACGTGCACACACATACACACACATGCACATGCACACACATGCACATACACATACACGCACGCATGCACACGCACGCACATACACATACACATACACATACACATACACATACACATACACATACACATACACATACACATACACATACACACACGTACATGCACAAACGCACACACGTACACTTCGTGGGCTCGGGATCTCTGTGTCGCCCGTGTTCGTGTGTCCTCAACAGCTCATCCCCACAACATACATCCTCGCCCCGCACCGTGCCTGCAGGCAACGCACAGGATGCGGTTGCTCCCGGTCTGTCTGTGGAGGTGACGATTGCGTTCACACCAGACCACCTCGGCACCTACAAGGAAGAGCTGGAGATTCTCCCAGAGGTGAGCCGCATGCCGGCAGCCATTGGTGTGCGTGGCGCTGACGTTGGGCGGTATTGACTAGTGATTGCTGGTGGTCACGCGGTGAAAATGCCTGCACAGCACCTTATACAGTCGTCGTAGTAGCTCGCCATTTTTCCCACATGCACACACACTCACATAACACAATGACAACACACTCACACTCACACATACAACACACGCATACCACTCACTCACAACACACTCACACGCGCTCGACAACACACTCACAACACACATAACACTTGCTGCACCCGTGGTTTTGTCACTCCGCTCTGTCACGGCAACAGAACGGTGCACCGTTCATGGTGGATCTGATTGGGGAGCGCAACCCGCCTGGCCTGACGCTTGAACCCACTGTGGACCTTGGCGTGCACCTCAAAGGGTCACGCACGCATCACTCCATCGACTTCACCAACACGGGTGGTGACACCCGCTTCAGGATCATCCCTTTCTCGCACGTGCGTGAATGTTTGTGTCGCGTTGTGTACATGTGTATGTGCGCATGTGTATGGTTAATGCTGCTGTTATTCTGAGCACACCAGCTTCACAATCACTTCGCACCTCCGCACACGCACACACTTTTGTACCGCCACACATTACTCGACCCAACTCAACACGCTAACACAATTCGCACACACCCACACATGTGCGCATCAGGTGAAGAGCAGCACACGCGCGAGTGCAAAGTCCTCAGCGGCCGCCAGCGACGCGGGCACTGATTCAATTGATTTGCAGAACCTGGAGGCCCTGCCCGAAACGTTTTGGAGCTGCAACAGCAAGGACAGTGCACGTGAGGGCGGAGACGACCAGCATGATGCAAGAAGCATGGACACTGTTGCAAGCGGGCGGTTCTTCCAGATCACAAACGCATGTCAGATGGTGGCGGAGAACGCACAGTCACAACTGCATGTGGAAGCCACGCTTTCCCAAGAAGGAAGGTGTCGTGAGCGCTTTGTGATCATCTTCGACAACTGCCTCTTTCGCATGTTGGACATTGAGGCTGAGGCTGAACTGCCAAATGTGTCTGTGAGCGGACGCCACATTCTTCAAGATGATGACACACTCAGGTCCGTGCTGCTGCTGGCATATGTTTTCTTGCGCGAGTGCATGCACTTATGTGTGTGTGTGTATGTGTGTGTGTGTGTGTGTGTGCTTGCACATTGTATTCGCTGGCTGTACATGTGTGATTGTGGCATGAACACATTCAACACTGGCATGGTTGTCTCTTTTCCAGACTCATTTCTCTTTCCTCCATCACCACCGCTGCCTTCACCACCGCCACCAATCATCTCATCTCGTCTACGTCCACCACGTCGACAGGCTCCTCATGCAGCCGTGCATGTGGAACTTTGGTGCAGAGCGCACTGTCACACTCACAAACAATGGCGCAGTCCCAGTCACATTCAGCGCTTCCATCCAACCAAAGAGGAAGTTGCAACAGCACCCGCAGCGTGATGAGAGCAAGGAAATATTGCCGGCGACCGCCACCCTGTTTTCTTGCGAGGAAGGGGAGGAAAGTCGGTCCTCCATTCCCTCCTCGGAGGCGTGCGGCATGTTTTCTGTGCATCCACCCGCGACCACCATCGAGGCTGGCAGTGATGTCACGCTGACCATCACCTGCTCGCCGCAGACAACCTTGCGTCATGCGCACCCTGTGTGCGCAGAGGCGTGGCTGGTGGTTGAAGCCCAGGACCTGCCGGGCGATTTGGCCGATGCACACGCAGTGCTGTTGGAATCATGCCTGCAGGCAACCATCTCGTCGTGCCAGGTGGGTTTACGCTGCTGCGCCGTACAACCACCAAATGCAAGCCACTGCCCTGTGTACACATGCGCGCCTACTTCATTCACCCACAATAACAACAACAATGCCACCACCACCACCACCACCACCACCACTGCCGTTGGCATTGACAGGCGAGTGTGCATCCACCAGCGTTGGCGTGGGCAGCAGCTGTGGAGCCGTCCGTGCCTGCAAGCATCCCCATTGTCATACGCAACGAGTCGGACGCAACGCTGCAGTTTTCCTGCGCCGCCGTCGTGCTTCCCACCGCTGTTCTCCACCTCCAACACCAACAAGGTGCGCCCACAACTCCGCAACTGTTGTGTGTACATGTGTGTGTGGACGCATTTATGAGCGTACATGGCTTGGTGGTCGTGGGTTTTGTGTACTTGCTCTCCTCGCCAAGTGCTATTCTCACCTAAGCTCACAAACACACACACACATATGTACGCCCATATTGTCCTTCACACATTGCCTTTTTCACCGCATACCAGGCTCCATCCCTCCGCGCGGAACACAGCACACATCTGTGATTATTGCTGGTCGCAGCGAGGGCGACGTGAACACGACCATGAAGATTGAGTTTGACAGGGCCCCACCCATCCTCCTTCCAGTCACAGCTTCAGGTGTGTGTGTGTGTGTGTGTGTGTGTGTGTGTGTGTGTGTGTGTGTGTGTGTGTGTGTGTGTGTGTGTGTGTGTGTGTGTGTGTGTGTGTGTGCGTTACACAAGCTCATTACGCTCGATACCTTCGCGTTCTTGCACGTTGTTGTTCCAACACTCATACTCACCTCCGCTCTCTCAACCCCCACCCTGCCACCGTGCGCTGCAGCTGTCTGTGCGCCCAACAGTGCTCGGCCGCTACTCGGCCACGCTGCACGTGCACATTGGCGGGCGCAGCGCTCCCGAGCTCATTGCCGTGTCGGCCACGGTGCAGGAGCCCCTGTGCTGCTTCACATCCTCCTCCATCCTGTACGTTCGTGATGTCGGTGTAACTGCTAGCGGCGGTGGTGATAATGATGTAGCTTGTGCGTGCATGGCTCTGATGCGTCCTGTTCACGTCAACATCATGCAAGCCAGCATCTCACAGTCTATGCTTGTGACATACACACACACGCACGCGCGCATACACACACACACATACACACACATCACACAACAACAACAACAACAACAACAACAACAACAACAACAACAACAACAACAACAACAACAACAACAACAACAACAACAACAACAACAACACGTTGCCACAGCTTCCCGCGTGTGTATGCCGGAGTGCCTGCGATGGTGATGGCGCACTTGCGCAACTTATCAGCGCTGGACACGTCTTTCAGCCACCGCGCCAACATCGCCCTGCTCCCCATCACTTCCCGTGCTGTCATTGCGCGCACCGCACAAAGCGCCAGACGCCACCGCCACCACGCAGACGGTAGCGGCGATGGTGGTGAAGCCGATGAAGTGATTTCGCATGGTGTCAAGCAGCAGCAGCAACAGCACCAGCAGCACAAGAAGCATCAGCAAGGCCTTCACCCCCTGACGAGCGACGACGTGATTGTGTCGGTGACGCCGGAATCTGGGGTGCTCAAGGCTGGCGAGACGCTTGAACTGGCCGTTGCATTTACTGCCCGGCGACCCGGCCCGCTCGCCCCGCACATGCTCGTGTTTGACATTGATGGCGTGAAGCAGCCGCTGCCGCTGGCTGTCATGGCGGACGTGCGCGGTGTGTCGCTGTCGTACGAGGTTGGCGCGCACATGTACACGGAGCTGAACGGACCGCCGGATGATGTGGACGTCAACACGGCACCAGGCGCCCTCAGCATTGCCCATCCATCCCACGCCACCCTCGCCTCCACCTCCACCACCCTCAGGCGCACACGAGATGCCGCCGCCATTGATGCTGCTGCTGCTGCTTCTGACTCTGCAGCGCAGCCACTGGACCCGCACCACCTGTATCTGCCTGTTGTGCGGCCGGCCAAGAGCTCGGCTGTTGCGTTTTCCCGGCGAAGGCGACAGGCGCGCCGCGTGGGCACAATGTCCTCTGTGCCCAGCATTGTGGTGACGCTGCCTGATGGCCAGGACCACGCCAAGCACAGCAGCGACACTGACACCGGCACCGACACTGACACTGACACTGACGACAATAACAGCCAAGCTGGTGATGGCGATGGTGGTGGTGCGCAAGGGGGTGATGGCGCAGAGAGTGAGCAGCCGCCCGTGTCTCAGTCGTCCTCGTCCACCTCCGTGACCTCACGGTCGAAGAAGAAGAAGAAGAAGAAGCGTAAGAAGCGTGGTGCAGCGGTACCATCACGATCACCGCGACAACAGCCGCTGGAGGTGCGTGGCCTCGTGTTTGAGCAGGTGCAGGCACACGTGCCGACATACAAGCTGCTGCGACTGACCAACCACTCTGGTATTGCTGCCACGCTGCATGCCAGCGTGACATTCTTCCCCGCGCGGGAGAATGTGCGTCTGCAAGTGCACGGCATTGGAGGTGATGCTGCAACGACAGTTTGCGGTGACGCAGACGCTGCAAATGGCAGGACAGCACCGCGTGCACGCACCCAGCGGCACACGGCAGCACAACAGGCCACGCAACGGACACATGCAACAGCCACAGCAGCGAGAGCAACTGGCAAGAGCAGCATGCGAACGGGGCAGAAAACGCGGCAGCTACCCCGGGCACCGGACATGGCCCGCAAGACGGCGGTTGGCACGTTCAAGCGGTCTGTGAAGAGCATCAAGGCAAGCATCAAGGCAGCCGTGCAGCCGGTTGAGCCTGCAGTCGCACTCAAGTCGACGGCAACCACATTTGGCGCATGCTTCATGCCGGAAGAGGCAGTGGTTTCCGTGCCGCCCCATGGCAGCTGCACACTGCGTGTGTGGTGCTACGCCGATGTGTGGGGTGACTATTCAGACCACCTCGTGCTGCGCGGGGAGCACCTGGACACGGTGCACGTGCCACTGCGGGCCAGCGTAACGGGCTGCTCCCTTGTGCCGCTCGTGACTGGAGCGAGCGACCTCAGCCCCCTCCTCCGCCTGCCCTCTCTGGCGCTGCGCAGCAACACCGAGCACCATGGCAGTGGTGTCGATGCTGTTGATGGTGTCGGTGCAGGTGATGGTGGCAGTGCTGTTGATGCAGGTGATGCTAGCCACGATGAGGTTGAGGGCCGGGCCACGATTCGAAAGTTGAGCGTGAAGAACCCCACCAGCCAGCCGCTGGCGCTGGTGTGGGAGACGTACGACGTTCTTGCAGACGACAAGCAGCTTGTGGATGTGTTTGCGCGCACGATCAATGACGACCCCGTGCTGAATCCGCCGCACACCCACGACAATGGCAGTGGTGGCGATGGCGGTGTTGATGGTGATGAACCGTTGCTGAAATTGCGGGTGCGTGCGCATGAAGGCAAGCGCTCGCACGTCTTCTCCGTGTGGCCGCCCGTGGCGGTGATCACCCCAGACCAGACAACGGTGTTCAAGGTGCGGTTTGCACCGAATACGCTGGGCACATTCAACGGCTTTGTGCGCGCAGTTGTGTTCACGCCTGCGCAGGCGAGTCTGTCTCTCGCGCCGATGCCTGCAAGCAAAGACGTGATTGCGTTTCTGCATGGCCACGAGGAGCGGCTGCCACCGTTCCCCGTGCAGACACTGATGCTCGACAGAGAGACGGCCACACTGCGTGCACCGACGGCCTCTGAAGCGAAGCAGCTAGTCAAGGAGGTGGACGTTGTCGATGACGTTGCTGGCGGTGACCGTGATCGCGGCGATGGTGATCGCGACGATGACGTTCAGCAGCCACAACAACTTTTGCAGTCGCAGGAGTCACAACAGCAAGAGCAAGAGCAAGAGCAAGAGCGGGCAACTGCAAAGGTGACGAGGAAGCAGAGGCAGCTGCGATTTATTGCTGGGTTGGTGCGACGCAGCACGCTGCGTACGGAGTCCACGGCGCTGACGATTCAGGTGACGGCCCGGGCCGAACATCCGCTGCTGCAGGTGGTTGGGGCGCCTGACACTGGCGTTTTGTTCCAGTTGAGTAGCGATGACGTACAAGAGGGACGCAAGGCGCATTCAACAAGCTTCACGCTGTACAACCCCACGTCCAGCCGCATCACATTCCGGCTGCACGCAACGCCCGAGTTCCAGGTTGGCCTGGTTGGCGCGCCGTCAACAACAGGCAGCTCAACGCGCGCAACAACAGCAGTGACGACCACGACAGGCACGGCCGCAACAGCCGCAATGGTGCGTGCAGGCACGGGCTCAACACAGCAGCGCAGCGGGAGAATACGGGGTCGCAGTCCAAAGTACGCCGTGTCCATGCGAGGCACCAGTGCTGTTGGCGGTGATGGTGATGGTGCAGTGACTGCGCAGCGACAGGCGACGGCGCAGCTTGGGCGGGCAGACATCAAGTCGATGGTCAAGCCCATCGTGCTTGAGCCAGCGCAGTCGTGCTCGGTTGGCGTGCGGTGGAGCGTGCCGTCTGTCCGCGCGCTCGTCTCGCGTGCGTGGAATGCGGCGTCGCCTCGCAAGTCGCTGCGGGAACGGCCGTCCACAGTGCTGAGTCAGCAGTTTTTGGGCGATGCGGAGAGCGATCGGAAGGGACGACAAAGCCGTGAACAGCAGCAGCAGCAGCAGCAGCAGCAGCAAGAGGAGGAAGAGGGTGAGGAGGAGGTGGTGCAGTACCGACCAACCGCTGTGACGATTGCCGATGGTGTTGAGTTTGAGATTGAAGGGTCCCCTGATGTCCTTCGTGTTCCAATCAAGGCCCTGCTGCATCTGCCGCACCTGCAGCTGCAAGAAGACAAGGTGTGTGTGTGTGTGTGTGTGTGTGTGTGTGTGTGTGTGTGTGTGTGTGTGTGTGTGTGTGTGTGTGTGTGTGTGTGTGTGTGTGTGTGTGCGTGCGCGCTTGTTGGAGCGTGTGTGGGTGTTCACTTGTGAGTTTTCTGTTGCATCTCTCATGCCGCCGTATTTCCCCATTTCGTGTGCGATATCTGTTGTGTGCTGCACTGCTGCCAGCTTGACTTTGGGCGGTGTGTGCTCGGAGAACCGCAGGTGAAGACCGTCACCCTCATCAATTTAGGTGCGGTCGAGCGTACATGTTATGTGCAGCGTCGATGTCATGTTGTTTTGTTTGTTGTGTTGGATGCCCTGCAGTACACACACACACACACACACACACACACACACGACAACACACACACACACACACACACACACACACACACACACACACACGC